TACGAAGCAGGGCGGTCATGAATATGCTCTATACGAGGACAAGTGAAGAAAAGGGGAATCGACATTTATAATAATAAAAAACAGCTTTGGTTATTGACACAAACTTGAATCAAAACATAATTATAAAAATACATCCTGGGTCAGGCTACAATATATGCAAATATATGTCCATTCATTTCAGCAAAGACCCACCCCCCAAAGCAAGGGAAGGAAACCACAGGTTATCTGGCTTCCAGATTGTTCTTCCATCAAAATCCAGAGTTGTGCCATAATGGCCACACACAACATCGAAAGGGTACATCACGTAAAAACAACAAAACATCAAACAAGATGCCTGAGTTGACTAGCTGGTCTGCCAGTATGCGAGTAACAGCAGAGTACTTGTCGCGAAAAGCTTAACATTAGCTGACAATGTGAGACGTAATAGGTATATAAGTGTCGCATAAATAAGGGTGACCACGGCGTATCTTAGATCTATTTAAAAAAAAAAAGGAATAAGCATGTGTCAGGTTTCAGCCACGAGTAACTGCAAAAGCCTGCAGCCTTTGATTTGTAAATCAAACGCCGAAAACAGACTTGCTAAATTTCAGTGTCCTGTCCAGTGGGGACAGCAAAAGTTGCAAATCATTGCTGCCAGTTACTTCTGGGACTGTAAGCAAATATACTGCATCCACATGAGCGAGACGCTGAAGCACCTCTGCTGGATTCATTTCCATCAATACATGCCGAAGAGTGCCACAAAAAACACGGCCTGCACAACTAACCTCCTTAACACGGCAAAGTCGCCAAAGACACGGCATGCAGCAGAGATCGCCTCACTTCACACGCTTCTCCAAAAATGGAGTTTGTCGCTAAGCTGATCAGTCTGATTAATTCTACATTCATTGTATGAGACACCTTCCGCAATCTTCCTCAGCAAATACTTTAATCATCACAGACCATTCAGATCTGTTCTCCTCTCTCCAAATTAGATGCAAATATTGTTCTAAAGGTCACAGGTCAATATTTATTGGTTAAATATTATCGTAGTCATTATTGTATTCATTATATTTATAATACTATAATCATTAAACTGGTTTAAAAACATTGTTTTAGTCAGGGGAGATATTTCTTTCAAGACAGAAACTGGATTCAATCAGCTGCTGCTTCAAATGAAACTAAACTTTACAGTTTGAGTAGATGAAATAAAAACTGCAGCCATTTAGAAAAACAAGGAAAAAGGGAGGAAGGAGAGCGAGAAAGAAGAGAGCTGTGACGGGTGAATGTGACGGGGCTCGGAGGCACTTCCAGCGGCACTCATAACATAAGGCGCCCTGAGCTTCTGGCTCGGCCTTCAGACCCCCTCCGCCGCGGCCGGGGAGCCGGAGCCGCCTAGCAATAAGTAAGGGGGGGTTGGGGGGGTGTGAGACTTCGTAGCCTCCAGGAGCTGAACGTCGCGGGTTCACATCAGAGCACGACAAGCAGCTCATGAGCACTCGCGGCAGATCGCCTCCTTCAATGTGATCCGCTCGGGCAAATCCAAATATTAAAGAAACATTTTCACTGAAACCGAAAAACCATTGAATGAAACCACTTATGAAAACTCCCATTGTGTGAAACCAGTTCCCAAAACGGTGCTGTATGGCCAGTATATTTGCCAACAAAGTGCTAACGACCCAAAAAGGACAATCATTCCTTATCAAGCTGGGTTAGCATATAGCGATCATTTTAATTAAAATAAGTAAAAAATGCAAAACTGCATGTAAAACCAGCCTGACCTGATTTGAAACTAAAATGTGAGTTTAACTTACTTACAATGCTCTTCTAACATGCATTCCTCAATCTCTTATTTGTGTCATGTTGTTTATCTGTTTTTAAACTAATTTAACCTCATGAAATCTTCACCATGAGCTCTGAACATACGGATGAGCTCGCTGAAGATGTTTGTCTCTCAGCAGTCTAAGTCCTTCAGCTTGATACATGTAAAAATACACGCCAGTCATGTAACACTATACCGCACTCCTGCCCTGTTATTTTAGGGTATAACAGACAGCGTCATTGAAGGAAAAAAAGAGAAGAGATGCCAGTATTATTATGTAAATGTGAAAAGGCCAGAGGACAAAATGTTAATAAACACCGAAATTAAACACTAACAACCTCCCCCTGTCCAAAAAAACAAATATATAAATTTATGGTTTATGAAGAGATAACTTTCATCTCGAAAGAAAATATATTTTCGCGTATAACAAACGTTCTAATATCACCGTCTTTTTAATATGAGATATGACTTTACTTGAATGATCTGTTTAACCGAAGACAGCGAGGAAGGAAAAAGTAATTAATTACTTATGTGAGCCGTTTCTTCAGTAAGACAATAAACCTGCCTGGTCGCCATGGATATGACATATTTGCTCTGAAAACAACACAATAATTAGCAAAGGAGAAAGATCCAGCGAGAATATGCAAACTCCACGGTTTAAAGCGCCAGTGATCTTTTCCTTACTGCCAGTCTCTCAATTACGAGTAATGGCAAATTACATACATACATAAAGGGATTACGTTACTAAGGCACAGTTGTTTATAGAATACTAGCATGACATTTTAAAGTCTCCTTTGCCTAACTAACAATAGTTGCTGGAAAGAAAACATTTATTAAAAAAGACTGAGCTGTCCTGTTTTGTCTCGTTTTGCTTATTATTATTAGCTTACGTTCAAGATTGTGATAAGGGGGCATCTAATGGGACAAACACTGATATTTATCTCCTGTCTATCGTTTGGATAACGATCCCCTATAAGAAAACAATACTTTTTGAACCGGGATATTGGACAAACATAAATGCTTTAGCGATTCACTTAAGAGACAACTCAGTTTTCATATGTAATTCCAGCGTAGTAGAACAGGGCATGTGTAAAATTAGTGAAAATATCTATACAATTCTGATTGTTTGTTTTTTGTTTTTTCTATAGGCAATTATTTATAAAAGGTACCGCTTCAGTTGGTGCACTAAAAATGATATTTACTAGACCCTAACCTGATGTCTCGGCTGAGGTGGCAACTACACTAAATTGCGATTTAAAGATAAAATGGGTTGATGCTGTGTCAAGTTTCAAGATATTCGTTATTGAAAGGCGACACAACAGGCAGTGACTTTGCACCGAATAATATCGGGCATACAGGGGGACGTGTGTTATAATATACAGCCGCCCAACAGTAGCTAATAACGCCACTCTATAACAAAACACGGAGACTGTGACTAGGGAGAAAAGGTCATTGTCCCTTTAACATGTAAAGCCATACAGAGTTTGTATTTCTCAAGAGATCGGTTTAAGGTTACCATAGAAACCAGAAACAGATTATCAACAGAATAACTAATAAATTAAACAAAAGGAAAACGATCTCTGGAAATTTGATTACCAACGTTAATCTAGTCAGCGCCAAAACAACGAGTTAACTTTCAGTATACTCTTTCCAAAACTGAAAGTAAATGGAGTTGAATATCCTTCTCAGACCGAGGTCATAAACTTTAATGGCACCGAGGCTTTTTCATTGACATTTCTTTCTAATAAATTCGACGTTGATTTTCATTATTCTTTATTCTGTGTCCGCAGCACCCCCAGTCAAACTGCACTTACTGATAAGTGGGTTGTGTGCTTGCGCGTATATGATGAACAAAGACTTTTAAGAATAATTTTGACATAAACAGTATGTGTTTTATATACAAAATCATCTGGGCAGCGTGTTATTTTGTTTTTTTTAACGTAACGTCTAATTGTATCGTATCTTACGGTAGAAGTTATGCCTTTAAATTTGGCTTATAACTTGTATAAAGTACACAAAAAGAACTTCCGCGTTTGATTGTAGAATTTTAATGTACGCATAACTCTTGCTGTAATCGCTTGACCTTACATGCCCGTTTAAAAAACTCCTCTGAAGTTGCATGCCTCAAAAGGACCCCCCACCCCCGAATATGCACACGCGTTCATTCTTAAACACACTTGCACACACACATGCGACGATGGATCGTGTTAACACCTGTTATACAATTTCCCGTATTCCCTAAGATTTCAAAAACCTATTCGTCCAGACACACGCTAGACTAACGATAATAGTATTTTAATTTTATCCTTGAAGCGTATCTGTTCAATTATTCGTCTTTTAAGATAAACGTATTGAGATCTAGCTTTCGCTTAAATGAAACTGGTTACATAAATAATAAACGTTATAAGTCATGGAGATGAGAAAAACTTATATGCTTGTAATCAGAAATCCCGCTGCTTTTTGCAAGGGCTGCTAATAAAACGCATATGAAATATCTGCGCGGCTGCAAACGCCAGCGGGTTTTACCACGTAAAGGTTAAGTTGCGTCGGAGTCTCAACTCAGGACTTTTCTTACTGAGCTTGAATCAAACGAACACCTAGCCGAGTTTTCCTTAAAAGTTGTCGATTTAATCTACAATGTCGCGGCGTCTTTGAGTAACTTAAGAAAACATGAGCTGATCGGGGAGGAGTAGGGGTCTTAAGCTGAGGGTTTGCGGACCTATACGGACGCTTTATTTTACAGGGTCGCTCTTGAGATCTGGTAACGCCGGCTAGTCCTCGCAGCGGCTGGGGTTAGGGGGTATGTACTGTACGCTATTAAACTGCTCTGCTGATTTCCCCTGCGCTGTCACAGCGACGTATCGGGGCATATTCAATGTAACACGAGATCTACTTATATAAAAGTCAGCTCTCTGCGAAATAAAACACTTTGATGTGGTTCGGCGTTTTAAGTGGTATATTTGAAAATACAGACGTAGTGGATGTGAAAATCAAAAGTCTTACCTGTAGTTCGGTGTCTTTCGATGACTTTCCAGCTAAAGGGAAATGTGTGTTTAGGACAGACGTTATGAGAGCATGCGTGATCAAAGTTGCCTCATTTTTCTGTCTTTCTTGTTTTATTATTGCATTTTCCTATTTCTAACACGGGGCGAGTCGCTCGGAAGACCTGCCCTGGAGACCGCTTCAAAGTGGGAAGAGGAATCCTTAATTGAATTTCTCAGTTAGCGACTGCAGGGTGGAAAAGCTGGAACGGATCACAGATACGACTCTTTTACGTGACAGGTCCGATGCAAGCGACGACAGGAGACTAAAAAAGTGGGTAGAATTTCAGAGTGCCGTGTTCTGTGTTGCAGCTGTTTCGTTTACTTCTCCATTTAGTAAAACCACATGAATAAATGTGAAAGTATTAATAAACAGAAACTTAAATTTTAGACCTATTTCATAAACACGTGATCAAACGCGTTATTTTGACTGAAACAAATGCGTGCATTTGTGCAGACTTAAAATTAATATTACTAACAGCTCTGACGAAATTAAACGTCCGCGCTTAGACGGTAGTAAGACCAGATATAGCCATATTTGGCTAGTTAAATTTAAAAATATAAAAGAGACATAGTACTGCAATAGTACTGCATCTCCAGAAAACAATATTTAAAAGAAATATAAAAGAAACATATTAGTTTAGTGTGTCTGTGTTTACACACTGTAGCAAACCCCTCATATACATTAATTAATAACATGAACATTCAGTACTAATAATATTGGTTAATTGCTAAATCTTGCTGATATCTTGTCTGCTGTAACCCTGATCTGCTTCTTCCTAAACTTCAGCACTACTCCCCCCCCCCTAGAAAGCAGTTACTGAAAGTGGGTGGAGGGACAGGTTAAAGTGTACAAACACTTTTTTAAAACTTAAGGAGCGTGGGAATGTGCTTCCGGTGCGTCCCCCATGTCCTGCTCTCCCTGTCCCCTGTGCCTGTACTGACTGCCTCCTTCTGTAGGTCTGACAGCTTTAAGGACATTTCGGGAGCAAACCCCAGGGTGGGGGGCAGGGAAGAGCGCCCATAATGTATTTTAAACTTGAACTTTTCCTTATCTAAATTCCTCAGTCTTGTGAACTATTGACAAACAGATTATTGCCAATTAGCAGTATGGTGGTGTGCCCTGTTCTACATAATAAAGGGGATGGGGATCGATTGCTGTGCGGTGTCTGCGTAGGACTGCAGCACAAGGTATGAGGGCTCAACCCCCCCAGTTATCCAGTTCAGTGCTATTATAGCAAAATACAGGCTTACAAACTTCACATTTCTACCAATGCAACAGGTAAACAATATGTTTCTGTTATATTTTTGGGATTTTTTTACCTATCACATTTTGGGACTATTACTTGTTTTCCTACATCCATCCATCTTTTCCCCCACCCATACATCTTCCATCTCGTTTACCTAGTACATACGTGCAGTAAGGCCGCTGCACGGGGCACGAGGCACGAGGCACGAGGCAGAGGACACCCTTAGACAGGAGGTCAGCCTTATACCTGAAGGTTACCTATATATTTAGACAATTTGGGTTCATTGGCCCTCATAAAAGGTACAGCAGCAGGCGCCAACCTGAAATTTGAGTCCATTCTCACACAGCTGCACTGCATGCATGAATAAAGCATAAGCTGAACGAGGTCCTTCAGAGCCAAGCATTTACTGCCAGGTCATAATATAGATGTCACACGGCACTGCCGTGCAATGCAAAAAGTCACTAATGTGATGCAAAGTGCAGGCAAAGTGGGATAACGTGAAAGAGTGTAGTCGGGGATTTACGATACGCGTCATCAGAATTTGGTCACTGGGAGAGGTGCTGGCCCAGCCCCTCGCATTTCAATCGGCGCGGAATCACTTAAATGCTCGTAAGTGCAAGAAACACAGAGACAAATGACCACACGGCATTTTGGGATCCCAAGTATGTCCCTCGGCGAACGACCACCGATGTAGGATACGCCGGGACGATTCGTGTATGATATTTACGAGATGCATCTGCTCGCTGCTGCACAAGGTACGATGCTCCAGCCAGCCGGCACAAACTGGGCCCGCTGAAGTGCTTAGCATTTCCTGCGACCTTGCAGGTGAACCGTGGCAACAGAAAATCTGTCCATCAATCAAGCCGTTTCCCCAATGTTGCAAAATGACAATACAGAATAATAAAGAAGAAGAAGAAAAAAAGACCAAAAAATCAATAGATTATTCTGCAGATCACTTGATTCAGTAATGATCCAGTACATTTATCGCTGTCCATTGATTAATTAGTCCGGCCTTCAAGGACGTAGCACAGGATCAACGGCCCACTGACTCCTTTGCTTTGACCACTACTAATTATGAAACATTAAAAACTAATCACAAGGTAGGACAAGGTTATAAAAGCCATAGCATTTGGCAGCACCACTTAAAACAGTTATTTCAGTGCTTTCTTTCCCTGCCAAACATCACCTACGAATTTATTTCAATCCTAAAATATATATATATTTTTTTTTTTCCCTTTTTCATCTTGACCAGAAATGTAATGCACGAAATTCTAGTTAATGTTTACTTATTGTTTTCTGTTGAAAAAAAAAAAACAGTGCAAACTGTACAATTTCTGTACGATAAAATTTTAATACACTGTCATCATTGTTTACAGCTAAGCAAGAAAGAATGTCTTACTGTGTAGAATTTTTACTATCTAAGTAAATGATGAGAAGTGAGATGTAATCCAAACCAAGGCTGGTCCTCTGCACACACGATTCACACAGGACTCCCCGTATGTCATATGTGGTTCACATGCAGTGTTTGCATTGTCGACTGCAGATCCAGTGATTTAATATGAATTAAGTTGTTGCCCTTTCCAGTGACAATGGCTGGAAAGGTCCCTCTGGCCAGGGTGGCCCATCGGGCTACAGCTCAGAATTTCCCCTCTGCCTGACACACCTTGGTGGGCAGAGAGCGCCCCCTAAACAGGGGGTATGGAACCTGCATGGCAGTAAACACTCACCTCATCACAGAGCAGAGCCCAGTCCGCACAGGGTCATGTTGGTTGTTGGTTCAACTGCTTCTCTTAATGACTCAGACTGACATTTTACTTTTAATTTCATCGAATGAAGCATAGTTTTGTAAATACCAAATTATTATTCTGTGGAAGAAGGCACAAATTAAATAATGTTAGGTTTATGATACTTCAAAGCCTGTTAGATGGGATTATTAATCACTGGCACCAGTGGGTTTAACCTGTGGGTTGCTATATTATTTGGGGTTACCCCACTCACTGTGTCTTCTGAAGCCTCACTTTATACAGTGAAGAGAGCATGATTACACCTTTGTGGACAGACTAGTCCAGAGGACCTGTGGTGGCTGCAGGACCAGCATATGTGTGCCGCTCCGTTTACTCGAGTCTGGGGCAATTTCCAGAAAGCCTGTAAGCGGCAGTCATACTGCAGGGCGACGATCGGCAGCTGGGCCCAGGTTAAACAATCACATCAGCAAGTAGAGTCTTTGCTCGATGTACACGACGAAGGCTACGTTCACACTTCCATGCTGAAGTGACTCAAATCGGATTTTTTGCCTTAATGTGACACAGATCTGATCTTTTCAGGGCTGTGTGGACACACAAATCTGATCTTTTCAAATCAGATTTGTGTCACTTTCATATGTGCTACTAAATCTGATACGTATCCGATTCGCGGCCATGCGACCTGAATGTGACGCTCAGATCGCAATTCATGTGGCTTTTTGCTTATACACATGCGCTGACATCATCAGCCTGCACCGGCAGCGCAGGAAGGTAAAGATGGAGGAGAGCTGCGATAAGTCAGTGGAAGGATGGAGAAGTTGGGAATTTAATTGATATTTGGGGAAATGAATCTGTTCAAGCTAAACTGGAAGGAACCTATCGTAATAGAGTAGTGGTTGAAATAATTGCCAAAGAAATGGCACAGCGCGGACACAAACGAACGTGGCTACAATGCCAAAGAAAAATAAAGAGCCTGAAGTCAAAGTTTAAAGAGGCAAAAGACTCGAATCAGCACAGCGGTCATGGCTGCACAACGTGCCGATTTTATGACCAGCTTTTTACCCGTGTAAAAACGTATCAATGTGCGCATGCGTGACATTTCGGAGGACCGATGCCTTCACATTGCAGTCAGATACAGGTCACTTGTAGTTATGAATGTGAACCATCAAGATAGACAACTCCGATCTGAGCAAAAAATCGGAATTGAACGATGTGGCTGGCCGTGTGAATGTAGCCTAACTCTTGCCTGAACAAACACGTTAACCTGTTAACCCGTTTCCATAATTATAAATAGTAACATTACATTACATTTCCAGCTCAACTTGAAACCCCAAACAATTCCCCCCATTTAACCAAAACAATACAAAGTAACAAACAACTTTGTAGGTAGGACAAAGAGCACATACTTGCAAAGACGGCGTAAATCCTGCACTGCACATCGCAAAGCCGGGATTCGAATGTGCTCCGTAGTAAGAGCCCGGCTAGGAGCTGCAGTGCTGAGGACAACGCTGGGTAGCCTTTTACGCAGTGCCGGAAAGTCACTGTCACGATTATTGTGCATTCTTATGAATTCTGGCATCAAAACTCAAAATTTGTTATTGAGAAAAAAACTTAAGATTTACTGTACACTGTTGGTCACTCTGCTGATGTTCCCATCAGAATAATGCAGAAAAAAAGGTTTAAATCCCAATAGGCCACAGAGCTGAATACACAATACTACTTTTTATAAGAATTCTTGTTTCATTTTGCTCCATGCTTGTCATTCTATGCAGCCTTTAAAACATCTTCCCCCATTTCATACCTGTACAGTTATCGTATTTCATCCCTCTTATTTAACCCTGTTTGCGTTTCTCCAGTTTCCTCTCTCTGGTTAGCAAAAAAGCAGCAGTGATGTACAATAATGTCAACAGTTACTCTTAGGCTACTCCAAAACAATAAAAACTATCACAACTTGAAAACGTTAACCACTGCACAGACTGACTGGTTAAATGCATTTAAATATTGAAGCGTCTCAAGAACAGGGAAATAAAACCTTACCATATGGGCCTAATGTCAAAAGACAAGACATTATATATACATATATATCAATCCCATTCAAAAATGAATTATGCAGTGGAAAGGGGGATTTTATGTAACACAAACGAATGAAATCTCTAGTGAAACAGACCTATAACGCCAGTGAAAGCAGCATATATCAAATGCATTGTTAAATAAACGCACTTTTACTATCCATTTCAGTGCAACGTCTTTGAGAGATTAGCGAACGCCTAACATCCACCATACAAGCCATTCAAAAAGATACCTTTCTGTTTAATTGAGCACGTTAAGTTTCTTTTATACGTTTTAGGCGCGCAGTGTTCTCAGATTGCTTTAATTACTGACTGTACGTGATACCTTTACGTCTTCAGAAGGATACTAGATGTTTCCTAATTAGTCTACATGTAATTTTGCACGGAGAGGGGCTTTTCTTTGATATCGTCAGACAAAGCAGTTGGTTTCCATTTCTGTAATTATTTATAACTATTGTTTCTCTTTCAGGTTTGCTTCCTTTCTGAAGTGCGAGAAGTCTTCAGGTTTAATGGTCTGCGTGTCGCTCATCCTCTACCACCCCAATCAAACACGGGTGAGAACACCAAACGCCCAGCGGGCGCAGACGTGGACGCGGACGCAGGCAGAGTCACGGCACTGTTTGATGGCCACTGGATCCCAGGGCTTCCCGTACCCAGTCAGCCTCAGTGGGGACTCACACTAAAGTCCTCTCACCATCTGTACCCCTTTTAACACCTTCATTCATTTTTTTTATGTTATTTGTTTATTGTGGCTTAGCCTCGTTTTTTTGATGGGGCACCTTAACCCTATTTGAATCTCTCGTAGTCTTTGGTAAACCCCATTGCTCTGCGTTGCCTGATGTATTTATGGATAAATTCTCAGAACACTTTCTGTTTACAGGGTAAGCAGCTCTGATTTGCAGAAACAAAGACAGTTCTCCTGAGAGGATGTAACACAGCAGGGTTTTCATAGATGTTGCAGAGCATGAGAGTACAGTACGGAAGGTGGCGATAAGTGACCTCTCACCTGTGGATCTGAGTAGCTGGCAAACGTGACGACTGACAACACTGGAACACCTTTGCTGATTATCTGTCCTGGACAAACAATTTCCATGAATTTCCTTTGTGAAATGGCATACTATTTCTTCAGTACACATTTTCAAGCATCGTGCATTTCTTTGAAAAGCCTGGGGATTTGAACCTGCAAGCTTCCGAACACCAGCACTGCACACTAACCTGTTGAGCCTCACTCATCACTCTTAGACAGTGTGTTGTTTTCACTCTTTTTAATTTCCCTCACTCTTTTTTCTATCTCTGGACAGGGGAAATACACATGAGATTAATTACATTATTTGTTTATTTGCATCGCAGACATTTCTGACCAGCTCATCCATCCGTACAGCTGGGTTACAGTAGGCTGCATGAGCAGGTCCCCTCCTGGGACTTAAACTCACAACCTCATAGATTCAGGGTCAGTCACAGGCCCTTCCCTGTTGCTCTTATATAAACACTGTTAGGAAGGAAGAGGGTAAATAAAACATACAAGTTAAAGTAAGTCTGGCATCCTGTCCAGGGTGTACCCCAGTCCCGTGCCCTGTGATGGACTGGCATCCCATCCAGGGTGTACCCCAGTCCCGTGCCCTGTGATGGACTGGCATCCCGTCCAGGGTGTACCCCTGCCCCGTGCCCTGTGATGGACTGGCATCCTGTCCAGGGTGTACCCCTGCCCCGTGCCCTGTGATGGACTGGCATCCTGTCCAGGGTGTACCCAAGCCCCGTGCCCTGTGATGGACTGGCATCCTGTCCAGGGTGTACCCAA